GGTTCTCACCGGACCAGGCTCTCACATCACCAAGCGCGAAGCGCCGTGAGATATTCGGCGAGTCGCATGAAGGGTGCGCTGCATCCTGCTAAGGGTTTTCGGTATCTTGTACATACTTCCTTGCGTACGGATGACAGCTGCGTATGAATTAATTTAATTTCTGGTGCTTAAACTTCCAGAGACAGTTGTAAGCACTGTGTAACTGCCTCGAGGGTGCTTCACCATTTTAACACAACGTGGTGCGATCATCCCCCTTGCGCGGAGCGAGGGTTCTCCACCCCGCACAACATGATCTACTCGACCACCATTATGGTTTCCGCCAAAAAAAAAATCAGAGGTAAAAAAAAAACACGGTAACCTGGTTGCCGAGTTCACGAAGTGAATTGGCTTGTTTGACAACGTCGTTGCCAAGCGACGAAAACCCAATCCCGATAGGCAAACACCGGAGGGGGGGGGGTGTACTCATAGTCGTGCATGCCGTAGTCGTTAGACCATTGACCTCGCATCCCTACAAAGCCGGGACGGAGCACGCCGGGTTCTCACCGGACCAGGCTCTCACATCACCAAGCGCGAAGCGCCGTGAGATATTCGGCGAGTCGCATGAAGGGTGCGCTGCATCCTGCTAAGGGTTTTCGGCATCTTGTGCTTACTTCCTTGCGTACGGATGACAGCTGCGTATGAATTAATTTATTTTCTGGTGCTTTCACTTCCAGAGACAGTTGTAAGCACTGTGTAACTGCCTCGAGGGTGCTTGACCATTTTAACACAACGTGGTGCGATCATCCCCCTTGCGCGGAGTGAGGGTTCTCCACCCCGCACAACATGATCTACTCGACCACCATTATGGTTACCGCCAAAAAAAAAAACGGAGGTAAAAAAAAAAAACGGTAACCTGGTTGCCGAGTTCACGAAGTGAATTGGCTTGTTTTACAACGTCGTTGCCAAGCGACGAAAACCCAACCCCGATGGCAAACACCGAGGGGGACGGCTTGTTTTACAACGTCGTTGCCAGGCGACGAAAACCCGACCCCGATGGCAAACACCGAGGGAGACCCGTATTATGGGGGGGGGGGGTTCCCGACCGCTCATTTGGTGTCGTCAAATCTGTCTTCTGTGCAACTGTCGTTCCCACACCGACCGGCAGTAAATGGCTCCTGCTCCAAAGGTGAAGTCTCTCCACACCATCTCCAACTGACAGAAATCCCGGCTCTCGCTGACTGGGAGAGGGAGGGGGGGGGCACTCATGTCTGCATTGACCACACGACTTGGTGGAGGGGGGACGGGGCATTGGCCTTGAAACCGGTCTCTCGCGGCACGACTACACGCGGTTCTGAAAAAAACACGTGGCAACACCCACACAAGGCAAAGCATCTCCGATTCCGTTTCCCCCTACCAAAAGCCCAAACTCTTGCCTCCATAAACCGGTCGTGCTCGTCGTCTTCCCACTCGCCAATCTTGCGAAAGCTTTCGTGAAGGCCACCGGCAAGGGTAACCCAACGGGAAGAGTACGCTTGAACCTGACCCTCGTCCCGCGTCCGCACCACTTTCGCCACTTCCGCCCACGCCTTGCCGTGCCTCTCGAAACCCTTGTCATGTCAGGGCGAGGAAGAGGTTCATGGCACACGCGCGCAACCACACGCCATGGTTGGAGCGAAGGGACAACAAGAGGGGGTGGGCGGTGGGTGGGGGGGCGTACTCTTATGTTTCGCATGCCTTAGCGGTCAGCGGTCAGACCATTGACCATGCGTCCTCGACAGGACGGAGCATTGTTCCCACAGGACCGATCCCCCATGGCCAATCGTTCTTTCCTACTTGGTCAAAGGTGGCTCAAAAATGTCTTCCCTAGTCTATCTGTCCTACAAATTTCACTTCCCGCCTTTTCAACCCACTTCCTATGCCCCAGTACAGGGTAGGGGGATGGGGGTAGTCGATAAAGAAAATAGGGAGCTTATCATTGATAGAAGTTGGGGAGACGGGACGCTTCCAATGGTTATGTTGAAACCACCCCGCCCCAAGAAGGAACCGTCTTCGACAGAGAGATGTTGGAGAGTCTCCGAAGCATAGCCGTTACACCAGCAGTGCCCCACAACTGCTGTACGACGAATGAACTGCTCAAATTGAGCTTGCGATACAGTTTCTTAATCACGGGGTGTCTTTCCGTTCAAAGACTATACGGTGTTTGGTGTACATACATGTGCCAAGCCCGAAGTATACTTTTTACTAATTTTTCCGGCAGGGTTTTTGCCCAGACTGCTTCCAAGCACCCAGCATCAAACACAAACCACCCTTTTTTGCTACTGCCGCTCGTTCCTCCGTACCATATCCTCAACTTCGTTCAGCAACAACGCGCGCACCTTGACCTTACCTTGACAAACCGCTCGTGCTCTTCGTCGTCCCATTCATTGGACCCGCGCCGACTCTTCTGCTTCTTATCTTTCCCCTGCTTGCTGCCCTTGTGCCCCGCCTTGCGCGCCTTCTTCCCCGGCTGCTTCGTGCCTTCACCGGCCGGCCCTGCTAGTGATGTACGACGCTTATCTCCGCCACCGCCATCACTATCTCGGCCGTCATCGACATGTGCGTTGGCGTCCTTATTGCGACGAGAGGCATGAGCACCATCTTCACCTTCGCTTTCTTCCACGGCTACCACCCCGAGCTCAGCGTGTTTTTGTGCGAGCCGTGCCCACGCACCACCGTGCTGCGCGACACCCTTTACACAGAGAACAACAATCACGGATTAGGGTTAATGGTAGGGGGGCGGGGCGGGAGATGGTTAGGGACAAAACACAGAAATGAGACAGAGAGGCAAACAGCGAGAGACAAGATAGACAGACAGGCAGACAGGCAGACAAGAGCGACAGGCAGGTAGAGGTAGCTCTAAAACTTGCGCTCTCTTTTCCTCGAAGCATGTTGAGGAGAATCAACAACGGCATCTTGACTACTTCACAAACCCATGATCGTTATTACTCGAGCAAAACAGAAGCAGGGCTAGGAGTTAGACATTCCACCCTTGCCAACCAAAGGTGTTTGCCCCACTCCATCGCAGCATGATAACAGCATACCTGCAGAAACCGTGTATTTTCGTCCTTGTCCCAAAACCCGGGCTTCTTGCTCTCCTCCTCTCTATCTTCTCTCGCTCCCAGCGACCGCTTTCGAGACGAACCATCATCTCGAGCACCGATGGCACCGTCACCGCTGCCAGCAACGTCGCCGCTATCGCCGTTCGAGCCTCCGCGGCCGCTCCGGTTGACGCCCTCTCTTTCCCTTGGCAACAACCGTGAAATGGGACCACCACCATCACCCTTGGCTTCCTCGTAGATCACGCCAGGAGAGCTGTCACCGCCGCCGCCGCCGCCGCCACCTGCACCGCTACTGCCACAGCTATTGGCGTCACCGACACCGCCAAGGTTACGCTTCGTGCCTTCGTCCCCGTTCCCCCCGATGCTCCTGAGAGCCCACGCCAGGACGCTGTCCGTCGTGGTCACCGTGTCCCCTCGTTTCCTGTTCCAGCTGCCCGACGATGACTCCCCCCCTCTCGTTGTTGCTGCTTCTGCTGCTGCTGTTGCTGCTGCTGTTGCTGCTGCCGCTGCTGCGGTTGGGTTCATCCCGTTCAGTGCACGTGGTACCGCTGTCATTTTTCCGCCGCCGCCGCTGCCGCCGCCGCCATCGGATAAGCTGGACAAACGTGTGAGCGCCGAGGACAACACGTGCACGACCCGCCAGGGTGGTGCATCAACCCCTTCTTGCTGCTGCTGCTGTCGTTGCTGCTGGGATGCTGAGAGCTGGGCCGCGGCTTCTGCTGCTGCTGACCTTTCACCTCGCGATCGATGGTGGTCTTTGCTGCTGCACATGCCGCACACCCAGCCCGCTCTTCGCACGTACGGCACCGAAGGGTCCACGCAGCCCAGGTGGTACTCTTCGCCACACTCTACGCACCTGGCGCTTCCCGCCGCCCATCCCGCGATCCCGCCACGCACGCTGACGCCGCAAGCCACGCAAGAGCGCCGACTGCCGTCTTTCTTCGCTCTGAGGGTAGCCGGCGGGGGACATGCCCGGCTTGTGCCTGCCGGCGTGCTGGCGCGCTTGCGCTTCTTGCTGCGGTGAGTGTCCATGGGGGTTAAGCTGCTGCCGTAGCGGTTGGTGGTCGATACGGCGTCAAACACACAGCGAGCGGCGAGGGCACCGGTGGGAGGGTTGTGGGGGTGGGGCCTATTATCTGTAAGGTCATTCCCATCAACAGCTCGCAGTTCAATAAATAACTGGTGTTGCTAGAGATTTGTACATTGGTTCATTCGTTCATTCCCGAGCTCCCAAAAGAAGTTCAAACACTACGTTCGAACCCACCACTTGCTACAAGCCGAAGAACTGCTCGTCGAAAGCACAACAACTACAATGGTTGTGCCAACTCTCGCGACCCGTGCCAACTCTCTCATCAGGCTGCTGCGGAATCTTTATCTCACACATCGAGGATGACTTCGACCACAAGCACTTGCAAGGTCTTGACCAACGTGAGCGCACTGCACGCCGTGCTGTCAACCGTCAACGGCCGTCCTGCTGGCTCTATTTCACTGCACACCCCGGCCTGAGCGGCTTTCATAGCTCGATTACTCAAGACCAACAGGCTGCCAGTGCCGAAAAGGGTAGCTCTGGAGAGATCTAGTCGAGAGCTCGTCCGTGCACGTATCGGTCGGCTTGCGCGCTATCTACGGTGTGGAGCAATCGTGTCTTTAAACCCGGTCCAGTCGTTGGGTATTCGATGACTTGTACCGCATGGTACTTTTACTCTCGGTACCCCTTTGTGCGTTGAACAATGACCTTCTCCCTGTTCTTTACGCAACGTCCCAATAACCTACCTTCAGGTCGCGAAACCTCCAGGGTCTCCCGGGAAACAACCGCAACATTCGGCACCTGCTGCCTGCTTTGTCCTCCACCAGCACCCACAGGCGTCCAGCAAGCATCCCTCGCAAGCGGACCGCATCCCTCCCGGTGACTCGGTGGCTGGCCAAATTGACATACCCCCAAAACTTCGACTTCATTTCGCGGTGCACCTCGCACCATGTTCCGCCGCATGATGCATCACATCATACCACGACCGGTGCAACCGACGCACTGAGTGCGATGAAGGTCGTACCAGCCGCGTGCTCCGTGCAGGTTCTTCTATGTGTCCATAATTCCGTGGGAGTGACGGGGTTCGCCGTGCCCGACCTCGGCTGCAGAAGCCGGCATCATCAGCATCATCAGGACAGGACTTCTTCGTTCGTGTTGGCACTGCCCGCGGCAGCAGATGGCCGGAGGTGTGTGTTGGGTGCCTTAAGGTTGATTCGTCCCCTGCCATGAAATAGCCCCCGCAAAACAGTCTGCCGTTCACGTCGATTATTGTGGTAGTGCTGTCGGCAACTAGGCAGGGGGTAATGAAGCTACTTTCAGCGCAGGGATCTAGAAATACTGCTGTACATTCCCTCGCATTTCGACCGTTTCGCAACTGCAACGGCAACTCTGGCTGTACCTCCTTGTTCGTCTCTCCCTCCGGTCCCTACGCCCACCCTCCCCCGAGGCCCCGCCCAAACGGAGAAGCGGAGGTACCCTTGCCTTTTGGTTATCAGTATAGCCCAGATGGAAAATCAACTTGGGCCCTGAGCAAGAGCACGCCCAAGGCTTGTGTCTTCTGGCACGATCATTATTTCTGTGTGACTCTCGCGATCTTCAACTCAAGAAGCAGAAATTGCCCGCCTGCTGTTCGTGTTTTTCACGCCGCCGCTCGCAACATCTACATACAACTTAGCCCAGCCACAAGCAAGATCACACATCTACGGGGCCATTGGCTTTTAGCACCACGAAAAAGGTGGAGTTTGGAAAACGAAGGTGTAGCCGGACTTGACCACTTGGAGGTCTCTTTCCCTTCTTTCGCTCTCTCGCGTGGTGTGTGTGAGCAGCGCTGCAGCCGGAACCACGGTGGCCGGGCGCGGGAGGGCTAGGGAGATCGCAACTCAGGCCCGACGGCGGGCGAGGGATGCGCGGTCCAGAGTCAGGGTGTGTTCAATAGCAGTTGTAGCGCGCGCGATACGCTCGATCATAGATTATACTGACTCACGCATGGATCTACGAGATGGAAACTACAGCATGCTGCACCACACTACACGTGGTTTGAACGGAAAAGTCCAGAACCCCGCACTACCGTAAACGACACAAGATGACACACCCCGGTGATAACATTTTGGGCTTTGAAAATGTTATCACCGGGTGTGGTATCCTGTGAGGTGTGTATCTTATGTAGCCCGGGTGATAAAGTGCAGCTCGAAGGGGCCCTCAAGGGTGAAACACCAAGGGGTGTGATAGCACGTCCGGACATCCACAGGGTGTGTTTGGGGGCGTACTTTTATGTTTTGCATGCCTTAGCGGTTAGACCATTGACCACGCGTCCTCGAGAGGACGGAGCATTGTTCCCACAGGACCGATCACCGATGGCCAATCGTTCCTTTCTACTTTGCCGAAGGTGGCTCAAAAATGTCTTTCCTAGTCTGGCTATCCTTACGATATCCCTTCCCGCCTTTTCAACCCACCTCCTATGCCCCACTACAGCTACCGTCCTTTCCTCTCTATTTCATGCCTCAAACATCTCCCTGTACGTCCCATCTATTTTTCCTAACTCAGTCACGTACACTTCCCTCTCCTTCTTGTACAACGGACATTCCGCGACTACATGAACACGGTCTTCGCATTCGAAGCCGCAATCACATTTGAACTCGTCGTCTTCCTCGTCTACCGTCCTATGTCTTCGTCGACGTTCTCGAAGGCCTTTATCCCCGGCCCTGAATTTGACCTAAAGCTTTGTTCCTGCATCCATTGGTCCATGTAGGTAGTCCTTGAACCCTATTCCTTCCTTCAACATTCCGTACACTTCTAGACCCTCCTTATCCTTGGATTCTTTCCTCAGATTCTGTTCTTCTCTCTCGGCACAAGCAACAGATATCTTCTCCTTGAACCCCTGTAGACCCTCCGTTTCCAGCGTTTCATCTTCGTCGATGTCGAGCCCCTTCCATACGTCCTCTACAACCTTGACCATTATGGGTGTGTTTTGGGGTGTGATAAATGAGGGGGTGTGAAAGTACGTCCGAACACCAGCTGGGAGGCTTGGCTGGTGCGTGTTGACCTGTCTGCGGTACTCGAACACGCTGCTGAGAGCGAGTCAGCAACTGGCTGCTGCTGGTGACGCGACGCGGTGGCTGTCATGTTGGTGCCTGTTGCTGTGCCAGCTGCTGCTGCTGATCTATTAGCAATAGCAGGAGGACGAGCCGTAGCAGGAGCCGCTTGCGTAGAAGAAGCTTGCTCGCGTCGAAAGAACGACGTGATCTGTGGCGCTTGTACTGCTGCGGTCGAAGCTGTTGTGGAAAAAGCGGAGGGCTTGCGGCGGCATTCTGTTCTCCCTGCACGTTTATGTTGTTGGAGATCTCCATGCGGGGTATTTATTCCGCAGGCAGATGTTGTGTGTGGTGTGTGCGATGCCCACGGAGTAGATGCTGTATCACCCCGGTGATAGAAGGAGGGCCCCGGTGAATGTATGGGGCGTAACCTCACGGGGTGTGTTATCTTATGTAGCCCGGGTGATCAATCGATGGTTTGTCAGAAACGCCCAAAATTGTCACAGGGGTATCGTTCTCTCTCGGCGGTGAGGTTTCCTATGTGGTTGTGTTGTCTTGTGTCGTCTAGGGTGCTCTATGCACATGTTACAGTAATTCGTTGTGACGCCAGAGCCAAAGTGTTCCAACCAAGATGCGGGTAGACTCATCAGGTGGGGCACGTATCCTTATCACGTCATCATCATGCAATTTTTTTTACGCCTCGCTTCTTTCCGCCCCCCCCCCCCCCCCCCCCCC